AAAAAAAAAAATATATATATATATATATTTATAGCAGTACCTTTTTAAAAATTATGGAATAGCACATTGTTCTATTTCCTTGCTGAATTCATCTGTCCTGAACTACAAATGGGGACTACAGAATTCAAGTGTAAAATTGGAACTGTACATACTCTAGAAGCAAGTTCATTTTATAGCCACAATTAAAATTTTTAAAATGTGGTATATGACAGTGCTTACTGTGCTGAGAATTTCACGATAAATGGTTATTGAATAGATAAATATATAAGAGGATATTATGGAATGCAACCATTTGATCATATATATCATATCCTTAAATATTGACTTGTGATCCCTTTAAGTTCTTACTTTTTTTGGTATTATACAGTTGCTTTGGATTCTGTTTTTGGTTTTTTTTTTTTTGTTATTCAGAAGCACATCTGAAAAAGTTTAATCCTGTATTAAGTAAGAAATGTTTAATATGTCTCTAATACTTGTGCCGTAGTCTGCTAGGCATTCTGGAAAATGCAAAGAAGTTTCAGATTCTGCCATCGAGGAGCTTCATGGGGGTGGGGTGCATATTCACAGAAAGTTAAGTAGGAGGCAAATGTGCAAAAAGTACCAAAAGTTTGGTCAAGATAATACTTGCCTGAGAAATTTAGAAAGAGAAAGTGTGATGCAGGAGGTGAAATTTGATCAAATATTGGAACATAGATAGATTTGAGTGGATGGGAAGGAGGAGAAGTAATTTCAGATAGGTGAGCACCTTGAACCAAGATGTAGGGTGAGAAGGATTGAAGTGTGCTCAGAGACACATCAGTTAAGACTTTTTTGATTGCAGGTGACAAACACCCAAACCAAACTGGCCTAGGCAAAAAAGAAATTTATTATTTCATCTAATCTGGAAGGTCCAGGGTGGGTCTGGCTTCAGGGACGGATGGATTCAGCACGAAGTCAGGGCCCGGTTATTTTCCATCTCTCCACTCTGCCTCCCAATGTTGGCTTTAGTCTGGAGCTTCACATGTTACAAGGATGTGGGAAGCAATGCCAAGCTTACTATCCTTCAAAAATGGGGATTCATTATAAAAGTGAGATCCTGGTGAAAATCTCCTTGTATCCTATTAACTGGGTTTGATGCCCATCCTGAACCAGTTGTGGGTATCGGGGAATGCAGTAAGCTCACGCTTGCTCCTGTCCTGAGCCCATCCCATCCTTGCCTCATTCTCAAAGATGAGACTATGGTCATCTTCACCGGAACCACACAGTACAGGAATGGGGCATGTCCAAAGGGAAAGTGAGGTATGGTTAACTGTAACCGGAGTGGATGGGTGCCGTGTAAGAAAACCAAGTGTCCGCTAATGGAGGACAAGTCTGTAGGTCATTTTGAGTAATTACAAGAACAAGACACTGGAAGTTCTTCCTGTGAGCACATAGTGGATATTAGGACAAGGTGTTGGGCTTTACGAGGAATTGTAAATAAATTGGACCTGGGGATAATTGACCTGTCAGCTGTGTGCAGGATGAACTGGGGGTTGGGTGCTCAAGAGGGAAATAATGTGACCTCTGTGGTACTTCCCCATATTTCAAAAGCTGCCATGTTTGCAGAGTATTTGTTGTGTGCTGTGAACTATGGAGAACACAGAGGGGATGCCCAAGACTCGATCCTGCCCCTCAAAGAGTCTACAGTGTGGCAGAGAAGACAGTGAATTGGGGGCAGTTGTGGTGCAGGCAGGGTGCACAGGGGTAGCAAAACTGGGTTTCGTGGAGCACAGAGAAGGAAGACATTCTTAAAGTGAACCACAGTCATGGAGCTGAAAGCCGAGTGAGCAGGAACCCAGGGAAGAGAGGCCTATAAACAGGGACCCCCTCTGGAGCCTCTTTGAAAGCAAGTTGTTTGGGACTTCAGTCATTAGTTGTGTAGCCTTTGCGAATATTAGGAGGACATGGGTGGGTAGGAATCTGCCTCTCTGTCATCAGACTTGGGCCTCCCTTGGAGTTAGCAGACCCAGAATGGGATTATACATGCAGTGGACCCTGGCTTGATCTCCCTGAAAGAGAGGGGTTCTCAGGCCATCGGCATGGGAAAGCCCTGGTCTTTGGGCATTCGATGCTGCCTGTGGCCAGTGTCTTCTCCCCAGCTCACTCTGGTTGGAACAAAGGAGTGAGCTACTGGCATGTGGTAGCTGCATTTTATTGTTTCAGTAGACGTCAGAGTAAATGGGGAAAAAATTCTCAGGCCTTCTGCAGGAGGAGAACTGAGTTCTCTTCCTGATGAGCAGTGCTATTCGGGCAAGTCTCTCCACATGCCTGGGCCTAAGTTTCCCTGTTTATAAAGACAGAGCATTGGACAAAAAATGCTTGATAAATTCTGTTACAATTCTAAGAGTCTATAAATCCAACTGAAACAACCGTCACACCCTTATATTCCATGACATAGGATCATGACATGATCTATTTCCAAAAATAACTGCTCTGAAATTACTGTTTAGTGGCACAGTTGAAAGTGAGGGAGATTGGAGCACCAGGGTTCACCCACTGCGGCGGCGAACATTTAGAAAGCTGCTAACTAGAGGAAGTGCCAGGAGTGGTGAGAACTGACTGGTCCAAGGGGTCAGGGCAAGTGTTGTTCAAGAAGAAGGACGAGTCAGGGAGAGAATGTGGTTGCCCTTAAGAGGATCTGGAGAAATAGAAGTGAAAAGCAGGGGAATGGAACCACCCAAGCATGGACTCAGCATTGAGGGCCACCAGCCCCCGCATTAGCTGTCTTGCAGAATTTATGGGGAAATGGCCCATTTCAGTGGCTGCAGCCAAGAGCATGACTTGAAGGGATTGCGAAGATTATGAGGAGATGCAGTAAACATGGAGAAAGTGCCAACGAGAGGAAGGAGGGAGAGAGGGTGCGCTAAGTTCTGATGTGAGCTTTGTTTTGAATGTTTTCCTCTGACCTGCAGTTATTTAATTTTAAAACTGTCTCTTCCATCCAACTATGAAGGGGGAAAAAAACAAAAAACAAACAACAACCAAGGCCTTCCATTTCTGAGCATCTCAGCCATTTAAAAAGCATTTGCACATCCATGTTTACCTGCAGCAACTCGAGGACAGCGGGAAGGGATTATTCCTGTTCCTTATTTAACTGAGAACCGAGTAAATAGTTCCCATAGCCAGTGATGGACAGAGCAGAGTCACAATTCCTGATGACAATCTGGGTGTGCTTTTTTTCCCCACATCGGAAAGCCTCAGTCCACTACTTAGTATTGCGTCCAATGCCAATGACTTTTTTTTTCCTCAAGAAGGTAGAAATAGAAATATTTTTTATGACCAAGAGGAGAGTTTATATTACTCTTGGATTAACTACAGAATGGTTTTTATGTAAGTCAGACTAAATAGACGTCTGTCTTTTTACAAACATTCAACTCTACGCGCACAGAACATTTTCAGTTTGCTTTGAAAGCAAAATACCATGTGTCGTAACTTTACAATGTTTTAAATAAAGTTAGGAATTTGGGTTTATGATGCTGAAAATACCATAAAATCAGAGGGTAGAAGACCAGGAACTGTGTGTGTGTGTGTGTGTGTCCTTAAAAAAATTCTGCAAGTGGAAGAATCAAAGGTAGACATTTCCACAAGCCGGTTATTGAATCATTGTATTAACAATCTAGTGAAACGAGAAGTAAATTATTAAAGTTTATCTTCCTCGCTGATTTGTAACGCTGTTCTTCAGTCTGTGGATAGTTTTTAAAGCAGAGCAGTTCACCCTAACAAAGCCATTTACTGTACTGGTCCTATACTCTGGCACTCTTTTTCTCTTTATTACTTCATTTTGGAACTTTGATTGCCCCATTTTAGATCTAAGATTGCTCTAATGCTATACTGCAATTGTATGAGGGGCTTGGTTTTCACTTTGTTCTCAGAACCAGGCTGGCTATAAATTTATCTCTGTTCTTTGAAGAAGCTAACAGTAAATTTTCAAGAGGAAAAATGGTGGTATATATCCCTACAGAGGAAAAGTAATCTCTTAAAAGCAGAATAACCTCCAGGCTACATCCTTTTAAAGAGAGACTTTCAAACAAGGACGCCTTCAACTTTTATATGTGTTCTATATTTTTCTTCAGGCTTTGTACCTACTCTTCGCTCTGTGTAAGGTTTCTCCGTAATGACCCCGTTCCTCCCCACACCCATTAAATCTGTAATGAAGTCATGCCGTTCCCAATTCTGATGTCATAATAACTTCCAGAGCCACGGCTGGGTAGCACATCCTGGAGATGATCTGAGGTTTCATCGGGAAAAGAGGCAGAGAGACCCCGGAGTTGGAATACCCACATAATTGAATCTCTGTTTCATAAATTACCACATACTACAATGAAAATGAACTTTGTAAAGTTAAATCCAGGAGAGGCTTTCCGTTTGGTTTACTTGCAGTCAAAGCAGTCTCCAATTTCAGGGCACTGGTTCCATTCAAGTTACAGCAGTCCTTCCCAGAGATGTGGCCACCCTCCCTCATCAACAGATAATAAGATCATTTCAAATGAGGAGGTGCTAAAAGAACGGGATGAGCTTGTGGCTCTGTTTCCATGTCTGACGACTTCATCACCTCTCATCTTTATTGTACAGCCCCCTGGAGCTGGATGTTGATGAATGAGGCACGCCTGGCGTCCTCACGTGTCAGACACACGGCCCTGGGGCTCCTGTTCACCGGGGGCTCTCTAGCTCGCCTGGGAGCGACCGAGGGGAATAGATGTGGAGCTTGGGGAAGGCCAGGGAGGGCTGGGGAGAGGTTGAACCCATCACATCATCCATCCTGCCTGTGTCTCCTGAGGTCATGACCAGGTGCTCCTAAGAGCTGCCCTGGGAGGGAGCAGAGAGCTCCGCAACTGTGGTGACTGTTGTCAACACAAGTGAGCCAGAAATGGACAGTTCAGTTGGCCAGCCTATGTTTCAGACCTCAGAAAGTTCCCGAAAGTGTTTCTTTCGCCATTTCCTTCAGCCTAATTGTCCTCTTTCTCATTTTATGCCCCTGCTAGACCACCGCTCTTGATAAGGAGAGGCAGGTTTTCCGACGAAGACGCAACCAGGATGTGAGGAGCCGGTACAAGGCCCAGCCAGCTCCGCCTGAACTCAACTCGGAATCAGAAGACTACTCCCCGAGCTCATCCGAGACTGTTCGCTCCCCAAACTCGCCCTTTTAATAAGACCCTTTTACTCGAAGTCCTAGCTTAACCCTTTGAGACTCTGAGGTTGTTTTCCAAATTTATGTGAAAAGTTTCATCTGATCTATCTAGCACTCAGTGCTTGAAAGGCAGAACAGAAAGTGTGTTTTCTGGTATCTTTGTAGTGATTTCTCTTTGCTGAACGAGATGACCACATGGTGTTTGCGAAGATGGCAACTTGCTGCTAGTAGGGTCCTCAAAGGGTTAAGGCTAATTTGCAACTTTTTTAAACATAGAAGCAATGAATGTGTTCGTCAGTCAAACTAGGATCTGCAGTATTGTAATATCGCACGTTAACCCTCTGAGTGCATAGGATTTTATGGAGAACCCCTGGGGAATTTTTCAGGCCTTTGGATGTATGCACACACGCTTCTTGATTTTGCTGCAGATCAAGGATGTTCTTAGATGCTGAGATGTCCAGACAAGAAGGACATCTAGAACGATAGCTTGCTTGTCGTTTTTTTTGTGGGTTTAGAATATAGCGGGCTTATAACTTAGACATAAGACCTCTCTTTCTTCTTCACAATCCCATTTTGAAAGGGACTTTTTTCACTAGAGGTATGACTGTCCGCGGCCGCAAGTCCTGCATCCCTAGTGGAGGCGATTGGGTCTGTGGCCGACAGCCTGACCCAGGAAAGAGCTGGCGCCCCCTCCCCCACATCGCCTCCACATGAAGATGGGCTGACGACGCCCCAGAAATGCTGCTTCCACATCAGTTGCTGCTAGTGACAGCGCAGACCCTCGGAAGTCACCATACTTTGTCTTGTGCACATGGTGAGTGAGGGTCTGCCTGCTCAGTATGAGACATCTATAGAAAACAACAACAACAACAACAACAACAACTGGGGGAAAAGAGCAATAAATTGCCAGGTGCTCTATAGGGCTGGGATTTCAAACAGAAAGAGGAAACAAGATCCTGTTCCTTTTCTCACCTGCTTTTTGTGCACTGCAGTCTTCAGCGTGAAATCCATATAGAGTACAGAGGGGTGCTGGGGCACAGGGAACTAGAGGCAGGTGCTTTGCAAGGTGGCCAAGGAGAAAGCGCAAGGGAAGGCACACTCCAGAATGTTCTAAAATTGGGTTTTAAGGAAATAAATCATTGGTAAGAGAATTACATGTGCACCTTTAGATTACTTATGTACAACCTCCCAGGAAGAACAGGATGGAAGACCTAGAAGATGCCCCTGAGAATAAAACTTCTGTTCCCTAAGATGACCTTTTGATACGACTGCCTTTAGCTGTCCAGAGAGACACGTTGTTTTTCTCCCTTTGGGCCAAGTCCTGTCTGAGACCCGTGTTTTCACTCCTGTTACCAAACCTTTCTGCCTAGTCCTGAATCCCCAGTGAATCTCTTCTGGAATGTGTCCCATTTCAGAAAGAGGGCCTGTCGCCTCCAGTGTGTCCTGCGGGGCTTAGAGAAGAGGCTGGTCATGGCGTCTTGGAGGCAAGGTCCGACTCAAATGTCCTGCTAAGGTTTGCTCAGTTCTCTGACCCAGGAGACAACCAGTGAGTGATGTCTCATGAAATTTGCATCTGGACAGCCGAACAGCACTCACTGTTTCTGTTTTAAATATACTTAGGTATCTGACAGTCTTCAAATTTGTATAGTCAGGTCTTTATTTTTGAATACACATTGGTCTTTAATCACTGTTTTTCACTCTTCAACTCATAAACTTTGGTCTCTATCAATATACATTTTAAAATCCCAACATCTCATGGCTTTTGCAACAGAGTTTCCCTGGTTTTTGTTTTTTTGTGTGTGTTTTTTTTTGCTCTTCCGCATTTTGGTTTGTCCTTTTGGTCTGTGTTGTCCTGACATGTAAACAGTAGATCATTTATTGAGAGGTTTCCTCGTTTCAGAGAGTTCTGTAATGGTAGCACATAACATCATGAAGTAGCACAAATCAGCTGGGTTTTTTGGCGGGAGGGGGAGGGCAGAACACCAAGAAGGTGGTTGGTGTGTAGGTAGATTTCATGTTGGTAAAACACCTTGAACCAGTCAGAAATTACTGCTTTCTCTAGAACTACGAAGCAAAGCACTGTTCTAAGACTAAGGAGTGGCTCTGTCGCTTGGCCTCAACTTTAAATGTGTGTCTACAAAGAATCCTATGGGCAGAGACCTACCTGCCAGTAGCTTGTCACTTTCCTTTCTTTTCGCCGAATTACTGTCTTTCCTGTGGGCATTACGTACATTGCTACAGCATCTATGTACCGAACTTCTAGTGCATGGCTCAGGCCTTTTTCCATCCGAGTCTAGGGGGACCGTGGACCCTGTAAAGCTGGGGAGTGTTTCCCAGCATACCGCAGAGGGGATCCCAGCGTATCGTATCGCTGTAGAATTTGAGTGATCTGTGCTGAATAAACAGTGGAATGTGACCTGTCAAGTAGAAATATTGAGTAATCAGATGGAATGCAATCTTCAGCATGAAGCTGTTGAGATTCTGAATGTCAGAGATGTACTCAGAGGGTTAACAGACAAGCACAAGGCATGCTGATTACATTGGTGTATCCAGACTGCTCTGCTTTTTAGCCAGTGCTTTCTAATTTTTTTCACAACATTCTTGGGATAGTTCAAGTTTGAAATAATTAAGTGGTGGTGTTCTTTAAGGAATTTCTATAACCAAATTGATCTTATTTTTTATTTCACTTTATCATAGAATAAATTATGTACCATTATGGCAGTGTATCTCTGTAATTATCGATTTCATCATTGCCACAGTATTTCCATATTTTTTTTTCTAAGTATTTAATATAGCTCTTATGGTGGTGGCCTGGTGATGGGGACTGTCTTTCCTTTATTGATACGACCAACCAGATGGTATTTTCAAGGGAATTTTTAGATTCATCATTTCAGTTGGATAGTAGACTTACTAAAGAAGAACTCCTTTATGACTTGCATCGTGTAAATCATCTCTGTAGATGAGAACTGTTCTTATTGATGAACACATTTTTTTCTCAAGATTGTAGCAGAAATCATTTTCTTCGTCATAATCGATGAATATGTGATTTGCTCCACATCATTAGAAGGAAAACTAAGGTTTCAGTCACTGAAAATGTTTTTACCGTATCCCTCATCTAACTTACACGTGGTGCATATAAAAATAAGCAGAGAAAACAAAATACAAATAAACTGCTGAAAACACTTGGTGTTTTGTATTCAGTGAGCCCCTCCTGCAACGCTCAGCACCCTCATGGGTGGTGGTTAACAGGCCCGTCAGATATTGTTGAAAGAAAGCAATATATCCATGAATGAAGGCTAAAATTGCAATCCTTTACCCTTTGAGGCATATTTCAGTTGGAAAAAAAAAAAAAGAAGAGAAGAAAAATTGGTTTAGCTTAGAGGGTCATGGAGCTACGGTATGACCAAGGTCCGTGCACATTAAATCACCATTGTTTGCCGGCCAACGGCGCCCATTAGACAGCTCTGTTCCCTGCGCTGAGGTGCGATTGTGCTTGAGGGACAGCTTTCCTAATGTTATTGTGTTGCCTGCCAGCCCTTCTCAGGGTAAGGATCTGTCAGCATTTCCATGATAAACTTCTGTTTTCAAAGGTTTTTAATTTGACCATAAAAAGGTGCCCCGGGCTGAAGTTTGCTATATAGGGTCTGTACCAAAGAGTGTGAAGGTTCACTTCCTTCTCTTTTCTGCCCAATTCTCCCTAGAAAAGGGCAGCAGCACAACAAATTTGGTGTGTCCCCTTCTTCACTGTAATTGCGGAACTGTGGAAAACACCAAGATCCAAGGTGGTAGTTTCAGTGTGATGATTCATTTGGATGTGGGTTTGAAAAAAAACATGAGTGAGTCACCTGGCGTATACTGTAGATAGCATATCTTTTCTATAATTTGTAAATTGTTAATTTTTTAAACTGCTACATGATTTTTTCTTTTCTTTTTCTTTTCTTTTCTTTTCTTTTTTTTTTTTTTTTGTCCAAAGATCTTTAAGAAACTTGAAGTTGGTCATTTCAAAGGTTAGCCTTTCCTGCGTGTTGTCTGCCATTTCCATTAGGAGCTTGGGAAAAATCCTCTCAGACTGACCCTTACTTTGCATGTGGTGATAGAGGGTCAGATAAACGCTTCTTTTGGAGATACGGATTTCTTTATTTAATTATCAAGTTTCAGGAAGCCATTCATGTCTGTTGGGAAAAATGGTGATTAAAAGCACTTCCAAAACTAACATTTTTGTCAATTCAGATGTGAAAAGAGCATAAATTATCACACTTTACATGTTTTCTTTTGTTTGTTTAAAGGCAAATAAATCAAGAAAACTTGAAGACACTAAACATTTGATTACTCCAAATGTGCTTTAAAATTGGCTCAATGGTGCTTATACATAAAACAGTAACAAATGGGGTTCCTAGGACTGTCAGAAGGAATCTTTAATTTGTGTGTAATTACATACTGAGGAGGAGGTGCTTTTAACCCCGTCTTTTATTTTTTAATCATCTCAAATATGCAACCATCCATCCAGTAACATTAAGGGTCGTAAACTGGTGGGAAACAGGAAATTCAATGTAGAGGCTTAGAATGCCTCTGGTTAGGGTGGGCTTTTCTCCCCCCTTCGGTTTTGATGTTATTGTTGATGGGCGTCAACACTGAAGCTGCCGTGATCATTTTTCAGTGATTGAGCTTTTAACTGGCAGGTGTTTTGATCATGAGGTTTGCAGTATCTTGCCCTTGGAGACAAGTGAGAAACCTAGATTCCTTCTTTTTCCCTAAAGGAAGAGCGATCTCTATAATTAAACTATACCTGTAAATTGCCTCAACGTTCTTTTTTGGTCAACCGAAATGAGACCCTTAATGTTGCTTAAATGTAAAATTGTATATTTTTGTCTGTGATATACTTTATTAATTTAAAGTAAATAATAGTTCTAAAAGCCTTCACCGTCGGTATTAAGAGAATGTAGGATTTTAAAAGTGATGATAAAGATGCTATAATGTCAATTCATTCCAGTCCAATCAAATGTGGTAAGAAAAAGACCTTAAATATTTCTCTAGGGACAATTTCTCACTTGCCATTGACATTAATCTTCGATGTATGCTCAGAAAAAATAAAAAGAAATTGAAACTGGTCCAAGGTTAGAGTCATATTCTTGATAACTATTTTTTTTATTTTATTAGGAAATTAATAATAGCCTTTTTCATTCTGGCTGAAAGAAAATTATTAAAGGATTAGTTGAGTGTGAAATTAAATAGTATTTTGCTCATGCATACTAAAAAGATGGGCTAGGTACTTGATGCGTTTAAACAAGTTTCTGAAAGGTTTCAATTTGGTGCGAGGGAAAAAAATTCAATGTTTCCTTTGAAAATACTGAATTTATCAATGGCTGCTTGGATCAGATGGCATAGGTTAATCTTTGATTTTCAGAATCTTAATGAAGTAACTTTCAAACAATTTGTATCCACTATTAAAGCTGGAATGAGATCCAATTTTTTCCCCTAATCTCTCAGTTTAAGCTAATAAATGTAGGTTAATGTGGAATGAAATCATCTGTGATATATTATGTTTATTTATCAACTGAGCTTTTTTGATGTTGCCTGTTTTTATGTAAAACATGTTCTTAAAGTTAATAAAATAATAGTACTTGGTGTATGAACTACTATGTAATACCCTAGCCGCAGCGTCCACTCCTCGATTCCCTTTGCCATAATGGAAGAAAATTTCATTTTAGTTCAATTCATAATTGACACATTCAGTCCACGAAGGAATAACCCAGCTGTGTTCTTGGGGGGGCATTCTCTCTAAGCAAGGCTTTAAAAATTAGTCATGCGGTCAGAGTGTAGCTTTCCCACATGTCCCCCACAGCAGAGTGTATATTTCATGGGCATAATTCAAAAACAAC